TTTCTCATTAGGCCTGTTAGCTTTGTTTTGTTTGTTTTTGAGGTACTAGTTCTCTCCCTGTATGCCCACAACCCCTGGGGTGACAGGCCATTCCTGTGGGTGGCAGGAACCCAGCTACTTGAGCCAAATACCTAGCTACCTCCCAGCGTGAACATTCTGAGATTGGGAGAAGAAATAAGCACAAAATCCAAGCTTTCCAGCATGGAATGTAAGTCTATTTTACCCACCCCTCATCAGGCTTTGAGATAAGCGTTCCTTTCTGCTATCCCTCCCCAGCATCGTAGTCTTTAAATGAGAAAATGTTACAGTAAGAAAGAAATGTGGCAGCCTTGGGAGCCATCAGCTGCCCCTGCCTTTGTGACCTTGTTGTTGAAGTTAGGATCTGCCTGTGGGAATATGCAGGTAGGACAGTCTGTGATTTCAAATGATCCAGCCATATTTTCATAGGGAAGTTTCTGCATGAAAAAGTTCTAGATTTTTCTTGTGAACATAATAAGAACTGTTGTTCTGACATTAATTAACCTGCAGTGAGAAATAGTACTGCTAAAGAAGAGTAAATTTGGCAGCTCATTGAACTGACTTAATTACAAAACAAGCTTTTGAAATGGATGGTCTACAAGTCATTTGTACCCACTGGTGCTGGGTGTTTGCACAATAACCCCAATCAGAAGGGGTCTGGGTTAGCCTGAGATAAGTGAGATAGCTGTTGTTCAGACACCAAATTTGGTTAGTACCAAACACCACAGGCGGAGAACTTTGGAAATTGAGATGAACATGGTAAAAGCAATGTATCACAGTTTCTCAGGCAAAGATTTCAACTTACTACCTTGTAAATTTAATATAAACCATCAGATAGTATGATGACCAGGTCGATACAGTCACTAAAAGATGGTACTGAGTGGCCAGATCTAATGGATGCTTTGACTCCAAACATATAGAATGTAGAATTCGGTGGGCAAGTGGTGTTGGTGCAGTTCCAATAAAGGACTGCAGAGATGGGCAAATATTTGGTGTGGCTTAGGATGCACTAAGCATTGTATCCCACATCAGAGGGCATATGTGCAAGTTTTGGCTCTGCCTCTAATTCCGGCATCTTGATAACGTACACCCCAAGAGGGAGTAGGTGATGGCTCAGGTGACTCAGTCCTTGCCACCCACATGGAAGATCTGAGTAAAGTTCCCTGTTTGAGCTCGGCTAAGCCCCACCTGATAGGGGATTTTGAAAAATAAATCAGCACCTGGGAGCGTATTTCCATGCATGCACTTTGTGTATGTGTGTGTGTCTATGAAATTTAAGAGAAAAACCATAAGTGGCAATATAATTTCTCATTTCCTTGTTGTGTCAGTGAAAGCTCATATGCGGTACTTCAAAGTGAAGATTTTTTTTAACTGAAAAAACAAGCAGCTTGTTTTTCATTAGGCTAAATGTAGTAAGGATTCTGTAGCAACATCAGCCTCTGTAATGAAAAACCAAGAATCTGAGCTGCCAATCTGGAGCCTCCTGTGTTGTCTTCATCATGGAAATAAATGAACAGAGCAACTTGGGACAGCTAAACTAAGTTTTTTTCCACCCAGGGAGCCCTGTTTTCAGGAGTGGCAGTAGATTGATAACTGGTAACTACTAGCAGGTGCCAAGAACAAGCTGAGATTCACATATGTTATCAACCTATGCTTCCTTGTTCTCATCTGTTCGCAAATACTCTTAGACATCCAATGCTATTTTTATTTTTCTTCCACCAGCTGCCCCTTACTCCACTGCACCTAAATGTTGTTGACAAAGAGGCCCAAACCATAGCATAATGTATCACAAATCCTACTTTACCTAAAGACTTTTGGCACTTGCTGCCTAACAGTGTTGGCTAGCATCATGACAATGTCTGTGTCTTGATGGTGTGACTTTATCATCTGCTAGACAAATGGTTTCCTCAACTCCAAAAGGACAAGCAGATTCAGGAGACCCTACTTGATGCTTCTAGTTCTAAAATCTGGGGCTGAAGCAGCTCAGACTAAAGATTGCTGCTGTCTTGATATTGAGCCAAAAATGGTAGAATGGACAATGGACTTTGTTTTTGTAGGTGAAGATTTGGGAGCTTGTAGCTGCAGGTTACCTGCCCAGTATGTTATACATGAATAAAGCAGCTTTGTCTTGATGGGCCTTTTGGTTGTTGGTGGGTATTATTCATGGTAACTCTAGAAGTCACTGGGCTCAAGTTTCTCCACTAAAGCCACATATGACAAAATGATACCTGCTAGAATTTTTTCTCGCTTGCCAGCTACCTCCTGTAGTGCATTTACCTCTTGGTTAAGCACTGAAATAGAATCTGTAAACATTGTGTTTGGGATTATGTTTCTGGAAAGAAATGACTGTGGACTGAACTTGAGAGCTTGGCCATGGTGTGACATGCACAGGGAATCACAGAGTGGGAAGTCTGTGAGGTGTCCCAGAGTGTCTGCGGGTGGGAACCATCTGACTTCAGAGCAGCATTTATCGGCTAGCTGCTTCCAGCTTCATGGCACAAAGTATTCCTATCTTACTCTGGTTATCTGTCCTCGGATTATTGTTCAATCTCACCATTCACCACACAAACAAGATATATTGAAAGCCTATTTTCAATCTACTGTATGTTCTGGGCTTGCTTGTCACTTAAGTCTCCGGTGCTTGTTAGTAGCCGAAGGTGCCAGAGATTGAGGATGTAAAACATACACCAGTGAACACAACAGGCAGGACTAGAAGCCCTGTGCAACAACATAAACAAGGACCCTAGAGACGGTGATCATTGCAATAAGCAAGTGGGGGGTGCTTCCTGAGTGCCACCTACCAGTGATGTGTGGGAGTTACCACATCTTGTGCTGACAGTGACCCATCGGCACAGGCATTTTTAGCCCTTATTGCACAAGTGATGAGATCCTCCCTAGTGATTTTCCCAGCACTGTTTTGCGACTACCAGTTGGTGGCATTAGGATTTGAACCCAGGAACCTCATTCAAGCTCTGTATGCCTCCTTCTGCCTTTCTGAAAGAGAGAAGCACAATTACAGGAGTCCTTTCCAATGGATGGGCTGCCACTATGCATTCTTCCCCTTACAGGAAGTATAAGCAAATGACCAAGTAGTATCCATGACACTCTCTGATCCTGGAAGAGGAGAGAAAAGCCTAGACATGTGCAGTTACATAAAAACACATTCAGGGCAGATTTGGGCATAGGCATTTCCTAACTGACCTCATCTCCTCCCGGGTCTGAATTGAGGTTCCTGCGTAAGTGATTGTGTGTTTTCTCCTGCTCTCTTCAGTATGTAACCAGGAGCTGCACCACCTACATGGAGCTATCCATCCCTTGGGTAGAGAGGAGGGAGTCTTTTTCATCCCATAGGCTCCTTGAGGATGTGATGGGCTTTATCACCAACCAATTTTAGGGGGCCTGTGCTTCTTGCAACAAAACTACTGCAAAAGCGATTTCAGAAAAGGGGCCTTCATGTACATGTGAAAAAAGAACCATACTCAAGGTGATTTCTGCTGATGTCTGCTCCATGTGATATATGCCCTGCGCTGCACCCTACTGTGCACCCAGTGGCTCTGTGATCATCAACAAGCGTACCTTTGCCACCCACCCCTAAGCAAATGTGAACTCTGTTGGTACCTCTGCAGCTGTGTAATTAAAGGAAGCTTTGTTATCTCAGGGATTCAAAAGGTATATAGCTGTTGGCTGAAAAGAAGGGGGGGGGTAGTAACAAAAGCTTGTTGTCTTTAAATGTTTTTAAACGTCTAGATGACTACAGAGAATGACAAACACACTTCCCTCCACTCCTCTCATGAAATCATTTTCTGTCCCTCCTCTTGATGGCCCTTCTTTTCTTCCAAGTTTAGATCATTCCTTGATTCTTTATTTTCATCCCATTTAAAATGTAGACAACCAAGAGATCTTCTGCCTGTGCTGGTTCATGCCCCCTAAATGCCCAAAACAGCCAAGTTTGGCCAGGTCCAAGTGCTTCATATGGAAGGCAAAGACCCAAATATTTATTTGTATAATCACTTCATGCCACTCAGGGTGCACCTTAGCAAGAAGCTGATTCAGAAGAGGAGCAGCCAGACCCGGTGCAGTAGCCTGGCAACCAAAGTCCTCGGCTTGCACACTCCAAGATCTCATATGGGCACCGGTTCTAATCCTGGCAGCCCCACTTCCCATCCAGCTCCCTGCTTGTGGTTTGGGAAGGCAGTCAAGGACAACCCAAAGCCTTGGGACCCAGAAGCTCCAGGCTCCTGGTTTAGGATTGGCTCAACTCCAGCCATTGCAGCCACTTGGAGAGTGAATCACAGACAGAAAATCCTCTCTATCTTTCCTCCTCTCTATATATCTGACTTTCCAATAAAGATTTAAGAAACAACTTTTTCTTAAAAGAGGAAGAACAAGGACTGGAATTAGACCCAACACTTGTATCCCAAGAGTTGGCTTAATCACTGTACCAAATGCCTACCCTTCATTTAATAACTTGACTCTTTCATACACCAAAATGAAGTGTTATAAAAGCAGAAATCCAGTTCATAGCTGGATTTATATTATACAGTGTCTTTCTATTCAGTATTTATTGTAAATCACTCGATTGAGTGAATGAATGTTCCCATGTTTACTTTATGAAATAGAATGTAGTGTGAGGTTCTCTCTAATACAAACCTCCTCCTCAAACCAGATTACCTTCTCTAAGTGAATCTGATGTTTATCATTTTCATGCCTGTTTTTATATCTCTTTGTATGTCTTTATTTGTGTCAATTAACCATAAAGTGATTTATAAAAATGACAGCATAACCCTTTGGGAATAGAGAAAAAAATCCAGGTAAGTCCTAGTATGACTAGTAAACAGAACTTGCCCAGACTGTTCCAGAAAGACATTCATGTGGCTTAAGTGAATGCTGAAACAAGCAATGTGATTTGTGCACCTGGCAACAAGTTTTAACAAAGTTTAAATGTCCTACCATTCTCAGTAAGGCCTCTTTTTTTCCTTTAGTTGAGACGGGAGAAGATTGACCTTGAAAATACCTTGGAACAAGAGCAGGAAGCACTGGTTAATCGTCTCTGGAAAAGGATGGATAAACTTGAAGCTGAAAAGCGGTTAGTGTAGTCTTACTTTCCGTATGTTTGGTAAGGTGTTTGCAGAGTGCTCTTCTGAGCATCATGGAAGGACACCATGGGACATTTGGGTGCCTTAGGTGAAACAGAGATCTTTGGTTTGTGAGGAAATGATTGTTGAACCCCACATTTTTCTTATGTTATTTCCTTTTTTATTTTTCACTCTTACTGTCCCTGAAGAACTGAGGGGGTGGTAGTAATTACAAGGCTATGGTGGGATTAGTCCCACTGCTCTTGTTGATCTGTAAACTATATTAGAGGATGGTTGAATTTGCAATTTTTCACCTTATGTAGATGTTTCTCCAATTAAAAAATTTTTTTGGTTTATTTGTTGAGAAGACATCTATTTCCTGATTCATTCCCAAATGGCACAATAGCCAGGGATGGGATAAGCCAGAGTCAGGAGCCTGGAGATTATCTGGGCTTCCCTCAATGTAGGGCGGGGACCCACATACTCAGGCTGTCATCTGCCATCCTCACACATTAGCAGAAAGCTGGATAGGGAGCTGGAGCATCCAGGACTCCAACTGGCTCTCAGGATGTGATACTGGTGTCTCAATTGACAGGATAACCTGCTGCACCATGCTCGTCCCCCCTCCGTTACTTCATAAAGTACAAAGGGTACACATTGTACGCTTGAGTATTAACACAGCTGCATAAACTAATTCATTAGGAATGCTCAGCTTTTAATGGAAAAAAGTCATCTATTTTTAAATCTTTAAAAAAAAAAGAACCGTATATATTTATGATTCTTTGGGTATGAAATGTCACGTGATGGTAGCATGTGTTGGACACCTTTGTGCAGTGCGGTGAGAGCCCTTGCTTTTCAGCACAGTGCCCTTGGGGGCAGAGTTCTGTAAGGCTGCAAGGAATGTTCTGTGTGTGGGCTGAGTCGCGGGTATAGAGTGCCTTTCCTGGGTGTGCACATGAGTTTTATTACCTTTACCCAGGCCCTTTTGTTTATTTCTCAGAGTTCATTACCTTGTGCATTTGGTTTGGATGCTTATTTATAAATTGTTTTGGTGACATTCCTAAATTTGGATATATCACGAAGCTTTGAAGTGAAAATTAGAGATAGGTCTATGGGACCTAATCCAGATACAATTTACACAGCTATATGTTAAATTGTAGTGAAAAGTTATTTTGTGCAAAAAAACAGAGACAATGAAAGTAAGGGTAGAAGTCATTCAGTTTGTACTTGAGCAAACTCAAAGGTAAAAAGTTAAAAATAAAACTACAAGGTAAGCATTGTGGTATATTGACTAAGCTGCTGCTTGAGTTGCCTGCATTCCATATTGGAGTACCTAGGTTCTATATCTGCTGGTTCCAATCCAGCTTCCTGCTGCTGTGCACCCTGGGAGGCAGCAGGTGAGAACTCTGCTTGGGTCCCTGCCATCAACATCAGACATGGGGGTGCAGTGTTTGTTTCTTGTCTTTTGCCTGGGCAGCCATGGCTGTAGTGAGCCTGTGCAAGTGAACCAACATAGGGGAGATTTCTAAGGCTCTCCATCTCTCTGCCTTTCAGATTCATTTGTTTTTGTTTGGTTTTTAAGACTATAATAAATATCATCAGCATTTTACATGCATCAACCTACCAATAATTAGTACAGAAGGTAGTATCACCAGTTACTAACCAAATATTTATTATTTATTTGAAAGGTAGAGGGGTTATAGGATAGAAATTCTCCATATGCTGATTCACTCCCCAGATGCCAAGGCTGCGCCAGATCATGGCATTGCTTGCGAGTCTCCCATGCTGGGCAAGGACTCGGGTATGTGGGCCATCATCTTAGCAGAAAGCTAGACTGGAAGCAGAGTAGCTGGGGCCTGAGCCAGGCACTCTGATAGGAAATGGAAGGATCCAAAGCAGTGACTTAACAGACTGCATCTTTATGTTCAGTTCTAATTTTGATTTTGACTTTTTGTCTTTGCTATAGACAGAAGCAGAGGACACCTCTTTCCTCACCCTGAACCCAGACCATTCCTCCATGCCCTTATAGAACTTCACCCTCTGAGGAGATGCATAGTAGCTCAAAAGTTTCAATCAAAAGCTTTAGGACAGTGGAGTATCTTTAATACTTCCATTTGCCAGCCAGTCGGTGTTGAACATTTAGGCAGCAGATAATCCTGAGGGTCTTATGTAATAAGCAGAAGCTGATATTAAACAGGAATGCCTACACCAATGGCCATTGGAGTGCTGCAGCAAGATTAGATCCTTCTGCTCTGCCCTTTGACCTGCTGAGGATAAGCAGAGTTGAAGGAAAATGGGCAGAGGAGTGCAGCAGCTCCATGGACTGTGACAATGAATAGGAACTTGTTTTCAAAACACATCCACCAGCTACTAAGCTGTGGCTTTTAGAAGCAAACTGTTTTTCATTGTTGGGCTCTTTCTTTTCAATGAAGAATCCTGCAGGAGAAACTAGACCAGCCCGTCTCTGCTCCCCCATCGCCTAGAGATATCTCCATGGAAATTGATTCTCCGGAAAACATGATGCGCCATATCAGGTTTTTAAAGAACGAAGTGGAGCGGCTCAAGAAGCAGCTGAGAGCTGCCCAGTTACAGCGTACGTAGCCTCTGCTGTCATTGTCACTGCTTCACTGCTGCCAACTGTCTGTAGAAGTAACATGTTTACCAGATAATACAGCATTACCAATACTCACCACAGAAATTGCTTTTATCACATTTATACAGTGTTTTACACATGATTGTGTGCAGACTTGTCATCCCAGGGTAGACATTTTTTTAAGTTATCGTAGTAAGGAAGTACAAACAGGTTAGAATACTTGCAGATAATACAATTCAATAAAGTCCAGAATCAGTAGTGTTCATTTTCTGGCCCCTCCCTCACATTCGTCTCTAGGCTCCTGCTTACCAAGGTTGTACAGGAGACCTCGCAGTGCACTTGCGGAACATCAAGGGAGAGCACAGAGCATTTGCCTTCCTTACTGACCTACGCTTAGCCTCGGTTGATGTTTGTTCATGGTATTTGAAGAACAAAGGCTTTTGAAAGTTATACTCAGATCTTTTGAAAAAGGCCAAGATGTTGAGTTGATAAAGCAAAGAAACTGAATTTCTGAATCTTTAAGTTCTTTTCTTGGCTCTCTCCTATTTCTGATTTTTGGCTACTCCAAGGTGGTTTTTTAGTAAAACAGTGAGATGGCAAGTAAACAGTGGGGGAAAAGAAAGAGAAATGTCCATTTCACCCCCATCTTGTATGTTTAAAAAATTATTTTCTCTAAGTAGTGGTGCACTATTGCTCTTCTTTTGTACCTATTTTCGCAGAAGCCTTATAGTATTTTTCCCATCAGTAATTATAGAGCTTTGGTTGCCCTTTTTGAGGCTCCCCAATGTGTAATTATGCAGATTCACTGTGATTTTACTAGTATCCTGTCTGGGGACCCTCATGAGGCTGCAACTGCTGTGAGGGTCTCTGCACAAGTTAGATGGTTATGTGAGGACCCTTTCCGAGAAGATTCCAGGAATACTGCTTGTTGCATCCCACACGGTGTGTGTTTAATAGTGAACAGTGGCTCTTTTCTTCATGTTTTCTTCTCTGGAGTTCATGGCATGTACTAGTCCAGTGGCTCATCTGGAATAATACATCAGGATCATCCCTAGAACCTTTAAAAAGTATGACATGTTAGTTTCCTGTTTACTCTGTAATTGTTGCTGGCTCAAAGCAGTACATATTTACTATCCTGTAGTTCTTGAAGTCAGAATCTGAAATGGGACTTGCTGGCCTCATGCTGTAGGGCTTGTCCCTTCTGGAGGCTGGAGGTAAGAGCCTGTGTTCTGGTCTCTTCCAGCTCCTAGAGGATTCTTGTACTCCTTGCTTGTGTGTTCCTCCGTGGCAGTGGCTTCATTCCCACCTCTGTTTCAGTTGCCACATGTCCTTTTTGTTCTGCCTCCTATACCTCCATGCTCCTCCGAGATTGTTTCCCCATCTCAAAGTTCCTAACTTACTCACCTCTTTAAAATCCCTTTGTCCCATAAGGTAGTAGTAGCACTGATAAGTTCTAGGGGTTAAAATGTAGACATCTTTAGGGACCATCATTCTAACACCTGTTTTTGGGGTTTTATGATTTTGTTAAGTAAACCAATATCTCTTGGCACCTTTCTGAATTCTGTTCAGTTCTTATCAATTTTCCATTTTTCTTTTTCATTTATATTTGTTTTATGGGCCCCATGTCAGATTTTTAGAAAGAATACGGAAGGAAACTGTCCTTCTATCCGCTTGCTCCATCTGTGCTGTTCTTTACCTTTGAAGAGATGGTAGATAGCCACCATGGGCACCTCTAAGTAATATTCTAGATTTTATGAAACAAGCTGAACTGGAACAGCAGCAAGTGACAGCATGGTTCCTTGCAGTCACTTTGAGTTGTGGTTCAAGGTTGAGCTGTTGACTTCCTGGTCCATCTCCCCCATTCTGCTTGGATGCAAGGACCCTCACCTTCTTTAGAAGGCAGCTGCACCAGTTAGTGCCCCACACTGCAACCTTTACTGCCTCCAGACTTGATGCTTTCCCTCAGTAGTTCCCAACTCTGAGTGAACATGGGGACCTTCCTGAGCACTTCCTCTTCCTCTTAAAAAAATGATTTATTTCTTTTTATTGAAAAGGCAGATTTTATGGAGAGGAGAGACAGAAAGATTTTTTTCTGCTGGTTCACTTCCCCAAGTGGCCACAACAGCTAGAGCTGAGCCAATCCAAAGCCAGGAGCCAGCAGCTTTTCCAGGTCTCCCACGCTGGTGCAGGGTCCCAGGTTTTGGGCCATCCTTGACTGCTTTCCCAGGCCACAAGCAGGGAGCTGGATGGGAAGTAGAGCAGCTGGAACACAAACTGGCACCCATATGGGCTCGCGAGGGATGCAAGGCGAGGACTTAGCTGCAAGGGTATCGTGCTAGGTCCTCCTTGAGCTCTTCTAATGCACCAGTTGCTATGCCTCTTCTTCAGGGATGATCTTGCACTTGGCTGGGGTGGTGGGAAGGAGAGAGGGGACGCAAGACTGGGCTTTCATATCCTAACCGCAAGCGTGAAAGGGAAGGCAGCATGTCCAGGTCACCCTGGAGTCCGTAGACACCACCTCTGGGATTGGTGCCTCCATTGACACTCTAACTCCATGCCTGAGAGATGGCTGAAAGGGGAAGGCATGGGAGATTCTCTGGATGCTCAGGACTGGTAAAGCCAAGTGGTTGCTGCTTGGCCAGCAGAGGGCAGCCAAGGAAGACCGTGGGCCCTCTGTGGTGTGTATTAGCAAACTAGCAGTGTTGGCTTCTCCATGCCTTGGGCTCCTGGACTATAAGCTGAATTTCCAGCAAGTCTTCCAGCCAGGGACTTTCTTATCCATATGTGATATTTCTCAAGGATCACCTGTTGCTGCTTTCCTAGATGTCATTTTCTTCTTGGAGCCTTATTAGGAATCTGCAGTTTTAAAAAGCTTTCTTGGTGATGGTATTTAAAAAAAAAAAAAAAAAAAGATGCTCTCACCATCCCTCTTCTCTTTCTAGAATAGAAAAATATTCCCAGGGGACAATAGAATGCTTCTTGTGGTACTCCATGAAGAAAAATCTTGCATTCTTGCATATCTGAGAGGAAATAATTTAAATCACTTAGTTTAAAAGTATACTTTGTGAATATTTGCCCAGCATGCCTTCAGTGAAAAAGATTTCTGCAGCAGGGTTTCTTGCAATATTGAAAACAACTGTGAGAGATTTAGTATTTAGAGCACAAAAATGGTGTTTAATGGTTGCCACATTTTTATGTTTGGATTTCTAAAGTAAGTGTTCAAGACCTTTTAGTGCTTTGTGATAATACTCTTTTGAAATCATTGACTGCTGGGCCCAACACAGCAGCCTGGTGGCTTAAGGCCTTGTCTTGCAGGCACCAGGATCACATATGGGCTTTGGTTCTAATCCTTGCAGCCCTACTTCCCATCTAGCTGTTTGCTTGTGGCCTGGGAAGGCAGTCAAGGACAGTCCAAAGCCTTGGGATCCTGCACCCACATGGAAGACTCAGAAGAGGCTCCAGGCTCCTGGCTTCAGATGGGCTCGACTCTGGCCATTGCAGCCACTTGGGGGAGTGCATCAATGGATGGAAGATCTTCCCCTCTATCTCTCATCCTTGCTACCTAATTTTCAAAAAAAAAAAAATCTTTTTTAAAAAATCATTGGTTACATATTAAAGACATTATTTGCTAAAATGTTAGATCTTCATAGAGAGTTGCTTAAGACTGAAGCTAATTTGAGTCTGTAGGAATCCATGTAGGGTCAGTTGATAGAGAAGAATTGGCCAGAATGGTGTTCAGTTCCTCCTTTTTCAAATAGGAGCCTGGCACTAATATGGAGCAGAAACCTGTAGGGAACTTCTGTGTGCCTGTGGGTGCTTGGAAGTTGTAGCTAGTTTCCAGGGAAGACAAGTTTATGGAGATGTTACTTTTGCCAAGTTCATTGAGAACAATAGTTTGGGTAGCAGGTAAAAGTGGAAGGGTGCAGCCATGGGTTGGGCTGGGGCAGGACTCACGCTTTTATGAACAGGGAGCTGGAGAGTGGCCCGGAATCCTATGAAGAACCTTCTCAGGAGGGCGGGCGTGGTGGTAGTTCCAGGGAGCTTAGCAGGAGATGGGCAGCACGTTGTAGAGGCCCATCAGTGTGCCATAGCAGGCTCCTTGGAGGCTCTGGCCCGGGTCCAGCCCTGAGAGTGCCAATGAAGGCATAGCTAACTGAGAGGCAGTCAGTGATGCCCAAAAGATAACCCATGGGCACAGACTGTTTCCAGTCAAGCTCCTTCCTCTCCCAGCTCCAGCAGCATGGAAAAAGGCTCTGGGCACTGCTATGTCTAATCAACACCAGTGCCGCCATTTCTTCTTCCACTGAAAGCACTTCAGGATGCAAGTGGAAGTGAAGATATCTCTGCTCCCAGCAGTGCCTATTTCCGCGCCACTCTCCCCCAGATTTATTTGCTTTTGCTTGAGAGAGGGAGGGAGGAAAGAAGGTAGGGAAAGAGATACAGTTCTTCCATCCACTGGTTCATTCTGCAAATGTCCACAGCGGCCAGAACTGAGCTTCCCTGAACCCAGAAGCTTCTTGCAGGTTTACCACATGGGCATAGGGACCCTAAGTACTCTCCCATGTGGGTGCAAAGGTCCAAACACTTGAGTCATCTTCCACTATTTTCCTAGGCACATTAGCAGTGAGATGGATCAGAAGTGGATTAGCCACATGGTATACCTGTGCTGCAGGTGGTGGCTTTAGTGGCTTTGCTAGAGCGCCGGCTCCACTCTTTTCCTTAAAAACGCAGACCGTGGTTGAATTGAGGACTCTGGCATTTCAGATTCAGAGAAGATGGCGCAGTATCTGGAGGAGGAACGCCACATGAGGGAAGAAAATTTGAGGCTGCAGAGGAAGCTGCAGAGGGAAATGGAGCGAAGAGAGGCTCTGTGTCGACAGCTGTCTGAGAGTGAGTCCAGCCTGGAGATGGACGATGAAAGGTACGGACACCTCACCAGAGCTGAGCCCTCCCCTAGCTTCCTGATGGCTACGGGAGAAGCTGCCTTGCACACACGTCACAGTTTCTACCTTAGATTCTGAATGTAGGGCAAATGTAAAAGATTGTTTTCCTTAAACCCAAAAAAGCACGGGGAAATTGCTGCTCTGCAATGACTGGATGAGGAGAAAAATGGAGGCACAGGTTTTTGTAGGATGGCAGCAAGGTTTGCATTTGTTGTTGAATGAATCTGTTCTTATCCTTGTGTTAAGCGTGAACAAGTCTTAATTCTTATGGACAGTCAAGCTGTTGTGCTATGTCGGTAAACAGACACACTGGTGGGAAAATGAGCAGGGGAGGCAAGTGGGCTCTGTTGAAATTCCAAGGACTTGCCTTAAAACATTTGATAACTTTGGAGCCTTTTAATGGCTGCTTGACGAACAGAGAGCTTTGCTGGTTCATTCACTGCCACAGTCTGGACTGGGCTGGGCTAAAGCCAGGAGCCACGTGGGAGACCCCATGAACTTGAGTCATCCCCACTGCCTCCCAGAGTCTGCATTAGCAGCAGGAAGCTAGAGTCGGGAGTTTGAGCCAGAAGTCAAGTCCAGGAACTCCAGTGTGAAGTGGTAAGTGAGCCCTTGCCTCTGCTGCTCATGTAAAAAAAGTCAACTAATGCATTTTATTGGAGCCTAACCCTATGCATGGGCTGAAAGAACAAAGTTTCCCTTTGGTTTGCTCCCACCCACATCTCCCTCTTGTCTTCTGCTTCCTCTAAACTTAGGGGTAAGGTGGTTATTGAGATAAGCAGCAAATATAAATTGGGCACCCATCCAATCAGCAGAGAAACCCAGCAGGTAGAAAGAATTAGCCTTTCTCATTTGGGCCAGGAGATTGCTTCTTGCACATCAGTGATTCCTGGCCTGGGCTAAGCCACCTGCTGGTAAATGAGGTGAGAGTAGGCATCCGTTTTTGGGGTGGGGGAGGGGTGGGTGATGACACAGAGCAGCCTGTGTCTTGGGTCCAGGGTCTGCGGGCAGTTGTGATGAGTCGTACTGTCCTGTTGTGAACAGACCTCGGCAGCGTTAGCACATTAGCACTGGGCATCTGTTTGTAGCCTAGAACAGGTGCCCCGGGATAAGAAAGCTTTCAGTCTGAGTGCTGCATATGCTTCCCAAAAAAAAAGGGAGGGGGACTTTTCTAGAATGGAAGTCTGTATTTTTATAATGAGGAAAAATAATTGTGAAAACAATAGTTGGCTATCCTGCTTCAATACCTATCTGTGTATACTCCTCAAGCAGAATAAACATCATTCTTTCTAGAAGTTTGTTGTAAAGCTGTCATCTTTACACTGAATTTCCTTGATTTGTTTTTGATTGAGAATATCAGCTGTGCTCCAGAGTTGCTAGGGAAAATTAGTGGCAAAGGTCTAGTTGAGGTACAGGTCCAGTTCAGGAACCTGATTTTCTTGAACTCCTGCTCAGCCATGAACTTTGTTGAGTGCCAAGGCTGAGCTTTTGTCCATCATAACCAAAGGTGAGCATACCTGTGACCACTCTTGACCTCAGGCTGAAATTTCTCCTGGTTTGCGATCAGCTCTGGAGACACAAAGTAAAAGCTGGTATTCCCAGTGTTCACGTGCGTGCATGGTCAGGGTGCCAATGACTTCCCAGTGTGGAAAGCAGTGGGACCCAGCACGCTGTGGCTAGGCTCAACCTGCCACCCTTCTGTTATGCTCTGATATGTGACAGTTTGCTAAGAAGCAAGCCTTGCACTGTAAGCAGTATTCTTCAGTTCCCAAGACTGTGTCTCTTTCAGCAGCATATTTCTCAAAAGGCTTGCCTGGTTTTGAGTTTCTAATAACAGTTTAAATGTAGACATGAAATTTGGATGTGTTTGGATTTGCTGGGATGTTGGAGAAGATCCTGTTGTTGCTGGAATGACTCAGCTCTGTCCCTGGGCCTCCAACTGAGGCTGCGACATCCTGGTTGCCCTGACCTACTCTCTCGGGGTGAGGTTAGCCTCTTTCGGGGAGCAGTGTGTCTCGGGGGTCCATACTTATCTCCTAGTGACAGCGTCTCTCTACACATTTTCCCTAAGAAACTTTCAGGAATTGCTTTACTGCAGGTGGTTTGATCATTTCTTCCTCTTCCCACTTAGGTATTTTAACGAGATGTCTGCGCAAGGATTAAGACCTCGCACTGTGTCCAGCCCAATCCCTTACACTCCTTCTCCGAGTTCAAGCAGGCCTATATCACCTGGTGAGTGCATTGCCTGGACCCTCAGTGGCTGGGGTCTGACCCATTGAGTAGGCAATGCTATTACCTTTCCCTCCAGCATATAAAAGTCTTATAAACAGACAGGTAATGGCCATATCTTTTTCGAAAGCAAATCACTCTCAAAACTGAAGAGCCTTGTCTTGAAAACTGTAAGCGTAAACGCTGTAGTACCAGCTGCTGTTTCTCTTCAGGTTTTCCTTCCCCACCTTAAAAAAGAAAAGGATTCCAATGCAAATACTTTTTTGGAATAAAGCTTGGACTGTGATTTTACAAGTGAGTAGATAGGCTTGGGTTTTCACATTGCATCAAAACACACTTTTATGGGATTTTGTGCAGCATTCCACATACGTTACCTCATCATTACCCTTCAACTGAGTGATGTGGGCATCATTCTTCCCATGATAAAATTGAAGTAGCAGCAGATCAAGGATTTACTACCTACTGGCCATGCAGCCAGGAAGTGCCCAGGCAGGGTGTGACTGTGTCCAAAGCTTGTGCTCTGCCCAGCTGGCACTTCCACCGAATATTTCCAGGGATTCATGAGTGGCACTAAGCCCCAGTGAGTAGGCTGGGGAAGGAGCCGCAGGCTCGGGTCAGGTAGTCCACTTCTTGCTTTGCTCTCTGACACCTCTCCCTCTAAGGCCTGCTTGCCTTCAGGTGACCCCAAAAGCACCCTCCCTGCCTGGTCTCGGGCTTGGCACCAGCGCTGCATGAGGCTCTCAGGCCAGGAGGGCAAGTTAAATGATCCAGTCAGGGAGAGCAGGGAGGCACAAGTGGACGGGGGAGGAAGAAAGAGAAGGTAGCTGGCCAAAAGATCTCATCTTGTGACCAAAGTGATGAGACTGAGTTTCTTGTGCTTGCTGGTAAACAGGTGTGGAACAGTTGCCAAACAAGCATGTGGGGGTGGAAACGCAGATGGAGGAGACTTTTCAGAGTCGAAGACTGTGGGCTGGCTGCTTTGAAGGGAGAGAGCATAGAAATCCTGTCAAGTCAAAGTCTCACTAGGGTGAAGGCATTTTATTTTGTCAAGGTAATTAAGATGAGGGATGCTCCTAAGGTTGATTGATAATGGAAAAATGCTTTTATGAGGCAGGCTGTGTCCTTGCAGGCTGAGACGAGAATGACTTGGTGTTGTGAGCCTAGAATCCAGCCACACAGTGGACTCTTGGGACCTTTTTTCCCCTCCCCTTCCATCCCCTTCTCTTCCTGCCCTTCACTTCCCCCTCCTCCCCTACCCCAACGCCTTTGCCCTGCTCCTTCCTCTCATCTTGCCTTCTTTTTTCACATCCATCCCCTTTCTTCTCACTTCTCTACTTCTGTCTCCCTTCTCCTTCCCCTGAAGGAGGAAATCAAAGGTAGATGCCAAACACAGTGGCAGCATTTGTATACTTCAGGGCCCTTGGGCAAGGACAGAGAGGCCTGGACACAGACTAGAAGGACTTTCTGTCAGGCCTCCATGGGACCCTCAGTAGTGGTCATCATGTCCTGCTTTCGCTGAGAGGATGTTTCTGAATCCGTTCCTCCCCTCCTGGAGGCCTCTGCCCACAGCCTCTCTTCCCAGTTGTCTCTCTGCTTTTCCCAAAATAGCACTTGGATTTCATTACCCTTTTTTGCTTTCTGATTTATTGATGGAGAAGGAAAGCCTGAGTCAGGAAGAAGCAAGAGGGAGGATTACTTTATAGCTGATGATGATGCTAATTCATGTTAAGTGTAACTTAATATCCTGTTTGACTTACTGAAACCTAATGAAAGTTTTAGAACATACGGTTTCCCATTGAGTAAAGATAGTTGCAGTCATTTAAAAAAAAGTAAGCTTTTAGTTGGGATCATTGTTTCTATTACAATAAATATTCTGCAGGAATATCATATTCTACCTTCATGATTTTGAGGTTCGCTCTATCTTTTCAGTATGTGTGCTGCCAAAGGGAACAAAGCTACCCCTGTCCCTTAATGAGATTAACTTCCAAGTTTGAATAGAAAACACTACTTGGGTTTTCCTTACAGTATGTAAGAAGTAACACCTAGGTTAGTTTCCTTTTCAGCCAACCTAAATATTTTTATCCTAAGTTCTATAAAAATACCAAAGTAGATTTTTAATCTCCTGTTTGGCAACAGAATGTCTGTATTCTCACCTAGCACACCGCAGTGTTATACACAGATCAGCAAGACCTGGAAGGAAGAGTTTGTGATTCTTAGCATTAGGAACATCTCACCACTTCCTTAGTGGAAATATGAAGTTTGTATGGTCTCCATTTCCATCTTTAATGTTTTTGGTTCTTCTGCATTCCAGTTGTTTGATTTGTTTTGTTTTGTTTTTAAGATTTATTTATTTTTATTTGAAAGAGGAAAAGTGAGGTGTTCCATTGGCTCGTTCACTACCCAAATGGCTGCAATGGCCAGAACTGGGCTGGTCCAGTGCTGGGAGCCAGGAGCTTCTTCTGGATGTCCCATTACTGCTGCAGAGGTCTGTCCTCTGCTGCTTTCCCAGGCCATTTAGCATGGAGCTGGATTAGAAGTGGAGCAGCAAGGACTCGAACTAGTGCCCATATAGGATGTCAGCAGCACAGATGGAGGGCTTAGCTTGCCATGCCATCATAGTGTCAGCCTCCACCCCTTTCCATTTTTGGTTCATGTTGGCAGTCTCGCATTTTCACTAGCTTGCTGAAATATTTTATTTCACAATTTGAATGAAAGGTAAATATTTTAGTTGTTAGGAAAGAGACTCTTCTTGATTATATGTAGACTTATATAAGTGAACTGATGTTTGGGAGCTGTTACTGTATAGTAGTTTTCAAGTTGTCCATTATATTTTGCAGCTTGGGAAGAGAATGTTCTGATTGAACCTGTTCTGTTGTGTGTCAGTCAGGGAAGGGCAATAGTGGGGTCTGAAACTATGCCTGTGTCTGATACCAAGAATCCCGCCTACCACTCAGACCCGGGTTTCTAGTTCCATTCTCCAGCAAAAGCAGTGAGGGCTATGGGACATCTTGTAGTACGAGAAAGCAAAAGGATGCAAATTTGACAGATGGATACACACAGTTTTCAGACATATCATTGGTGGAAATTTTATAATATTCGAATGTAATCCCAACATAAAACAAATAGCCTAATTTGTTACATGACTTGATTTTTTTGTTGTTTTTGCATATTTGCTTACTTGCATTTATAATTTGAGAGGCAGAAAGAGCAAAAGCAGAGACAGAGCCAGGCCAAAGCCAGGAGTCAGGAACTCAACCTAGGTCTCCCATGTAGGTAGAAGAAGCAGAGAAAACAACTATTTGAGCCATCATTCCTGCTTTCCAAGGTTCTACCATTAGCAGAAAGGTGAAATCAGGAGCCGAAGGTGAGTCGCAAATCCAGGTGCTTTGATCTGGAACTCAGAACTTGTACCTAAGGCCTTAACCACTAGGCTAAATGCCCACCCCAATTTCCTGATTTTTGAGAAGGCACTGTTACGTTATTATGACTGGGTAACATATGCAGGGAGCCTTGTAGTATTCTTGCAATTTTATGTTTCAGAATTTTTAAAAAGTTGAAATCACTGTAACTTTTTTTATTTTGAAAGCAATCCAAGGTGAAATAGTTTTTAAAGGAGTTCAAAGAGGAGGGAGCTGCTAGCTCCAGGGCACTGGACATGAGACTAGAGAGGGAGTAATGAACTAGAGCTTGTTGAGCCCTTGCCTGTGCCAGGCTGACTTGAAGCACTCAGTGGAATTAACTCATTCAATTCTCATAGCAACCTTAAGAAGTAGCTACAGTCATCCCAGATGACAGTCAGGAAATCCCAAGCACTTGCCTACTGGGGCCCAGTGCCAAGAGCAGAAGTGTGATTTATTTTCATGTGATAATCTGTAGTGTAAGAGAGGAGTCCCTGTAGGTACTCTGTGTTCCATTCTTTTCCTGTAGTACACTCTTGACATCTGCCAAAAATCTGTTGACCATATGTGTGTGGATTGATTTCTGGACTCCTTCTGTTCCAGGGGTTGACTTTTATATCCTTATTATCTATCCAATGCACCGTGCAAGACAGCCAATCACATTTTATTTTTGTAGGTTACTGAGAACTTGTGCATTTTAAATCTGCCCTGAATTGTCAAAGGCCCCAGATCGTCAGACACGATAGTTCATGTGTTGTTGTTACATTTCAGGTCTGTCATACGCAAGTCACACAGTTGGCTTCACCCCTCCAACTTCACTAACGAGAGCTGGAATGTCTTACTACAATTCCCCGGGGCTTCACGTGCAGCACATGGGAACATCCCATGGTATCACAGTAAGTGGCACTGGGATGGAGAGCAGGACTTTCCTGCTGATTCTGGTCTTGTTCTGGAGAGCTGCATTGATACCCTTGACCAGTCACCTTTGTGTCTACCTTCCCCAGGTTCACTGATCTAGGTGGACTTCTCAACACTCTGCTACCAAATTCTTATGTAGAAACTACTATCCTTCCCAAGAGGCCAAACTTCAACTTCACTTCCTGTGCAAAATTGCTCTTTATGAAGTGTAATTTGAACTTTGGCCAATGCTCCCGTTGAACACTAGGTAGCTCCTTGCCCTAAGATTACTGTTGGTAATAACTGCCACAATTCCTGAAAGCATTTATTGTCTGCCCGTCCACAGTTCACTGATCTTGACTTTCCTGAAAGGTAGTCTTTTTTTCTAATTGCACTCGGAGTTTTCTCTCCTGGAAATAGAAGAAGCCATTAGTAATTCTGGTTCAAACTCCGCTCACAGGAATTGGTTATATGAGTGCAGTTGACCAATAGGAGCAGTTAAAGATGTAGCTGACAGGATTAGAAAACTGAGGGTGTTTGCAGTACGACAGTCTTTGAGAAAGGAAACCTGACCCACGAAAACATTGAGGCTGCTTGTGAAGCTGTCCTGCCAACTGGATGAAATATTTATAAAAGCAAGAACCTTGTTTGTTGAGCTGTAGCTTTTGGGATGTGAAAAGCTTGCTTGGGATGAATGCTGCAAGGAATTGGGGACACAGAACCGGCGAAAAGAAAGATCTAAGGGAATGATGTAGCTACTTGTTAGAAACAGCTTGTCTAGTCAAAGACCTGAAATCCAGAAGGCTGTTCCATGAAAGATGTTATTCTGCATAGCTTTTCCACAGATGCGAGCATACACATGACCATGCTTCAGTTGTCATTCATCCCTCATCCAGAAGCCAGTATGACAAAGAAGACAGTAGTTCGCTGGCTTTCAGCCTTGGCTGATCCATCTCTTAGTAACCCTGACTCTGAGACAGGCTGTGCTAGGGATGAGTTGTCTTGTGCCTCGGCTGACCTGCTGTTCCTGTCCTCTCTGCAGAGGCCTTCACCGAGGAGAAGCAACAGTCCTGACAAATTCAAACGGCCCACGCCGCCTCCGTCTCCCAACACACAGACCCCAGTCCAGCCGCCTCCACCCCCACCACCGCCCCCCATGCAGCCCTCGGTCCCCTCAGCAGGCAGCTCGCAGCCCACCCCTTCGCAACATTCGGTGCACCCCTCCTCCCAGCCTTAATGCATGTGCTTAGTCTGAATTCCAAGTTGGGACTCGTCCAATGGAGCCGTCTACTCCACGCCAAAGGCTTCCTTCCCTGGCATATTTGGATCTGACTTCTTTGCACTGAGGTTATCTAGGCTTCACTATCCATTGTGCTGTAAGTGTCGGTCGGAAACGCAGCCAGTGTTGTGGGTCTACAACACTAACCAGACGACTTTTCCCATCAGTGTTTTACTTGAATCTACGTGTTCGTCCATTCCCTGGCTGGAACATTTGCTATTCGGTATTTGGTAATTCAGCAGCAGTGTGCAATTTTGGCTTGGCCCCAGAGCTTCATTCTCCTGGCTTTTAGGTTTGTAAAATAATAATAATAAAAAAGGGATATCTTTTTTATAATTTTTTTCCATGAATTTGCAGGAAATTACTGAGCTGTTACTATTCCCCCCGTCCCCCGTCATAACGGTGTTGATCAAACAAAACCAATACTTCAGCACTACAGTCAGACTTTTGAAAATCTAGCTTTCAGTGGAGAGTGGAAAGTTAGATGAATCAGTGCCCAAAAGCTATCTATATACTGTTTAATAGAGCTTTCTACAGATACACTTTTTACAGGTTATTTTCAGTATAAATCAACATCCTCATGTCTTGTAAAACAGGTAGCCTAAAGTGATGACTGTGACCATTCATGAGATGGGTAATTACTGTATTTTAAGGTGTGGCTCTTTTCTTTATCATCAATGTTAATCTACCTGAACCAACTCCCTCTAACATGAGTCGATAAATGTTGTCTCACCCACCAGTAGTTTTGATGGCTGATTAGAATGTGCTCTTTGATTTCTGCTGCAGAAGGCAATGTGATTGTAACAGATACAGTGTGATTTCCCCTTCCGTTCTTTGTTTTTTGTTTCCCTAAAATAGTTTGAACAAATATTTTAAAGGTGCAAAATACTATTAGAAAATACTATTGGAAACGGACCTTGTAGGAGTATTATGGCATGGTGGCCACCAAACACTGTATTGCTTGGCAGAAAGGAAGTGTAGAGGAAAGTAGCACATTAGCGTTGACGACTGCTTATCTCACCCAGTATGAGCAAGTGCAGTGTACAAAGAAGTATATTCTGAATACATTATTTCCATTCATTTAGCACAAATAAATCATTTGGTTTCACTTTGAGGTGGAACACTGTGAGTCACTCTTTTCTTAATACTTGCAACATCTTTATTTTGGTTTGTCAGAGGTTACTGTTTTGTCTTTGGTAGTCAAGTGATTTTTTTTTCACCACCTGTGTTTGCATATTTATATATGCTGTGAATGAAAATAACTTACTCGAATGTATAGCTTATGATGAGAGTGTGTATCTGTTGGTTATAATCAGAGAACTGAAAATTAACAGTAATTTCTAAGGGTTCATGTTTTGTGACAACCATCTCTAATAGTTAACTGTGTGGAACACACTCCTAAGAATAAGGAACCGTGACATTGTAGATATTTAATATTGTACAGTATTAGAAACCTCCGTTTTTGCCTTGACATGCATATTTAAGAGTTAACAGAAGTGTTGGATAATAGTGTTTGACTAGCATTTTAAGAACTTGAATATAAAAGCAACAATAAGATTTTTTTCACCTCTTTCTGCTTCTGTCCCCACACTGAGAATGTCATCCTTGCTCAGTTGGAAAGAAATCATATATCTGTATAAATTTGTTTTAATAGGTATGTAATTGCCATGATCATAGTACAGTTCGCAAACAGGGGGAAGAAGCTGGACTTGTGGTTTTTAAAGCCTGAGGTTTTTAAAATGACCAGACCGGGCCATGTCACCCCTAGGGATTTCACCAACAGCTCGGTGACCCTCTTGGCAGGTACATTGTCCCAGGGAATTTTGAGACGAGGCACACAGATCCATGGTACAGTTCTCAGTTTTTAACAGGAGAAATATGGTATATGTTTACAAAACTCTTTTATGAGATTATAGATTGTGATGCTGTTGGATAGTGTCTTGCACTCAACTGAGAAAATCTGCAGTATGATGACCTTCCATTTGTTCCTATCAATTCAGTTACCTCCTAAAAGCACAAAAGTTAAAGCATTGCTCTAGGGTGAATGAAATAGCAATTGGAGGGAGCAAGCAGTTCTCGATACATGCCTTTCAGAAACAAATGCTTATAGTCAGACTTCCCGGAAAGGTACTCCTGAAGTCCCTGGCCTCACCATTTCACTTTTGAATATAACCTGCAGCTCCTTTCAAACTGCACTTCTCCATGTAAATCAAGTTGTCTGACCCCATGATATTCAAAACTGATGCAAGAGACACTACTGTTTTGAACTTTTGCTGTTTCCTATCATTTCTAGGTGTTTACTGACCCCATGTGGTGCCTGTGACGCTTTAGCAGCACCTGCTAGGACGATCTGTTGGCCAATTTATATCCACCAGGGACCCGTCATACTCAAATCCTGAGCTTTTGGGAGCTGGCCATGCTATCGGCATTCTGTTGCCCACTTGCCCAGGCTAGTCCTGCAATGATGTGGGAAGGCCTTTGTAAAATCAGTAGCCACCCTTCCCAAAGGCAGGAGCCATGGCAACTACATGTCCTGTCTTGCTGACAGAGACCCTTGGCTACCACTGTGCTGCTAATAGGATAAGGACTCCGTTGCCAGATTACCATGCCTTTCTACAAAACCAAATTAACTTAGGTAATACCTGATGTCTCTGGGCTCTGAATTGCTTTCATCAAGCATGCTGGCATTCTAGACAACAGTCTAGAAATTTGGCAGATGGTGGAACTATTTAAAATTTGCTTTAGCTTACTCCTTTGTTGATCAAAAGGAGTCTTCATTTCTGAGCTCCTGAGACCCCAACAAGCAGCCATGAAATGAATGAGTGATCAGAATGTGGCTTTGATACCAAGTGCTGCTGTGCCTTTGGAGTTGGCTTCTAAGGAGTTTGACCAGAAATCATCAATCTTGAGAATGAATGGTTCAGTTGTAGGAAATAAAACATCACCCTGTGTTAGGTAGATATGAGCTTCTGCACGGAGCCTTGCTTGAGGAGAATACTTAACAGGGCAAGCAAAAGCATAGTAGCTTGTGCTTTGAGAGCTCAGCGTTTTTAATTGAGTACATTGAGCTTCTGGCTAGAACTTGTCTTATAGTAACCAACACTGAAAACTTTGTAGTGATGACTACCAAAGAAATATGTAGTGAAACAACCTTTATTTCCAAATTGTTACAGAGCCAGCCATTGACGCTGCTACATGAGTTCCATGCTCAAGAGCCATTGTAAGAAATTAAGGGATTTTTAAGTTTAGGGTTTTCTTTTTCCTTTTTCAGTTTTTTTCTAACTTTTTTGATAAGACATTTGTTAGCATGAAGTTCTAGGGAGCGTTGCTCAGCAGTTATGATTAACTGCCAAGCCCAGCTTGCCTCTTGCCAGGCAATGGAAGGAACCCTGTGTTCATGATAGCATGGGTACTGTGTGTGTGCACGTGTGCTGTGTGTGCATTCATGCCTTAACTCGGGTTACTGCTCAACTTTAGTCCTTGACTTGGTCTGCACTGTCATCTAGATTGTATTGTACATCTCGATCTGAACTTTATCCTGACAAAAACAAGGTTGCAGGCACAACAGTTTTAAGAGTGCATTTCTCTAGAAGAGTATCTGGTCAGATTGACCCTGAGTCAGCTTTAAGCTTTATGTGGAACTTAACCTGGAAAAGACTGTCATATGAAAAGATTTCTTTGCGGATGAGGAGAGCCAAGTGCTAGCATGCCTTTTGCCTCTGCATACCCATGCACACTGTATGTTGTCCATGACAGGTTGTCTACAGCGTGACTAGGTTGGGGTTCTGGTAATAGTGGCAATCTTGACACTCTTGGTCAGAATTTAGCGAGATGTAAGACTTCAATTAATGTTTTATTTACTTTATGTTGATTAGTCTTTGATACATGTGCTGAATCAGAAACCTAAATAAAGATAATTTTTTTAAATGTACCTTGTGAGCCTTAAACCCTATCTCTCTCTCTCTTTTCTCTCTCTCTCTTTTTTTTTTTTTTCGGGACTTGGAGTTGGAAAATGAGCAGTGTTTGCTTGGTGATTTTCACAGACTCCTGGGTTAACCTTTGAACTCTAAGGGCTGCCATGGGAAGTAAATTTAGGCTGACAGCTCAAAGGCAGCTGCTGTTCTATTCTCTCAATAAGGTGTTGGCTCCATTGGATGTATTGCTTTTGAAACTGTCAAGCTGCACATTTTTGGCTTATAACAGTGTTCCTGATCTGTGCAGTAATTCAGTGTAATTCAGAGATTACAAAAAGTGTAACAAAAAGGCAATGTTAAACTTGCCTGAGATGTTACTGATAAACAGACAAATACACAAAAATACATCAAAATGTGTGTGGGAAAATAGTCAAGAGATAAATAGGAGGGATGGGCTGTTTGACACAGCAGTTATGACACTGCTTTCCGGGGCGGTGGGGGCGGGGCAGAGATTTTGGTACAGCATAAGCTGCTGGGTGGAAAACCCGCATGCAGCTTAAAGTACCTGAGTACTTGAAGTACCTGAGTTCAAATCCAAGCTTCTCTTCTAATCCACTTTCCCAGGAGGCAGCAGGTGATAGCACAAGTAGTTTTGTTCATGCTGTACATATAAGAGTCCAGAATGAGTCTCCAAGCTCCTGGCTTCAGTCTGTTTCCACTGTACCCTACCCTCACAACCCATGGTTGTTGGAGACGTTTGGGTAGTGTACCAGCAAAACAAGATATTTCTCTTAGTCTCTGTCTCTCTCCCTCAACCCCCACCACACACACACACACACATTTCCCTCTTGTCCTTTTCTCCCTTATAAAGATGCTGTTTGGCAAACCTACCTTCCATATCAGAGGGCCTAGATTCAGAGTCCAGCCTCCATTCCCAAATTTAGATGTTCTGCTGTGTGCACCCTAGGAGGCGTTAGATGATGGTTCACACGGGGCCTTAGGAGACCAGTGTGAGTTCCCAGTTCTGGCTTTGCCTGGCTCTGCTCCAATTCTTGTAGTCATTTGGGGAGTGAGCCAGTCAGTAGGTGTAAGGTTTCTTTCAAATGAATCTGAAAAGATTGAAAGCAGGCATTCTTAGCCTGGAGGCTAAGAAGCCTATGGACCACATCTGGATGCTTGGTTTTGTTCCTGGTTCTGTCTTTCCACCCGTGCAGACCTGAGAGCAGCAGGTGTCTCTGTTGTCCATGTGGAAACCGGATTTGTGTTTCTGGCTCCTGACTGCAGTCCTAGTCATCATGGGCACTGAGAGCCAACTGGCTAATGGCAGGTTTATCTCTCCTCTTTCAATGTTTTAGAAGAAAGTTGAAGTATAAATATTTTAAGCCCATGCATAATTTCTCATAAGCATTTTTCTGCAAACTTTTAAAAACTTACTTCAGATCTACTGATTGACACGATCAGTGTCCTCAACTGCTGGCACTGAGCCAGGCCAAAGCTGGGAGCCAGCAACTCAACAGGTCTCTGTTGGTGACAGAGATCCAACCACTTGAACTGTCACCTGCTCCCTCCCGGATGTGCCATAGCAGGAAGGTAGAATTGAAAGCAGAGCCAGTACTCAAACCCAGGCACTCTGAAATGGGCTGGAGGCAGTCTAAACAACATCTTAACCACTGTACCAAATACCCACCCATTCATCATCTTTTTGAAGACACCCTCCCATTCAGGCTTTGGGTGCTGCATTTGATATGTTAGTGAGCTTACTGGAAATTCAAATCCATGTGTCTTTTTCCTGTTTTATAGGACACATGGCTTTAGAATCTGTCCTGGTTTGGAGTGCGAGTTCTTTCCTTGAAGTAATTACTTAACCTCCCTAACTTTGAACTTCCTTAGCTGTTATACAGATACCTATCTTGCCAGATTCATAGAAAAGTACAGTTTGTCACACAGGGACACATCCATTTATTTAGGAAGAAATGTAGAATAAATTTGAAATGATATTGTATGTGTCTTAAGGGGTGGAGTGGGGTGGTGTGGCTGGTCAGCTGTATTTTAGCGATACCCTATTGTTCAGGGTTCACAGTCTGCCAGGAAAACACACATGGCTTAATGGTGTCGTGTCTCAGGAGTGGAAACTTAAGGAACCTCTTGTGATATCTTAAGAATGTGAACCATTGGTATCTAGGCTTTTCTAAGAGTAAATAAACTGAGTCTTGACACTGGCCTGAGCAGGAATCCATTTTAACTATTAATGTATTCAGTTTGCAGTCTGGCTACTCTGATGAATTGAAATACCCAAATGACAAGATGCCTCTCTAGCCGTGGCAAATTGTTTTTGGTATTAACTTGATGAGTATACTGATGAAGAAATTCAAGTCATGATTTTGTCCATCAGCATCAGTTTTTGCTTTTTTTTTTTAAATTGTTTGAAAGGCAGAGGGACAGAGGCAAGGACACACACCTTCCCTCTGCTGGCTCACAGTTGGAGCTCCCACTAGGTCTCTCACATGAATGGCGGAGTGCTGGGACCATGCTCTACTGCCTTCCCAACCACATTCATGTGAAGCTGGATCGGAAAAGGGAGAGGAAGTGGACCAGCACTCTGATAAAATGCTAGTGTTTCCGGAAGTAGCTTAAGTGGTTGCACACAGCATCTATTCCTATACCAGCCTCAATCTTCTAGTCTGAGTGATTTGCCATTCTTTCTTAAGAGATAGTTTTGAAGAAGAGTGCTTTAAAAAGAAAGTATAAAGTACAAAACAATGTTTTCTGTTTTTATGATTTATTTATTTGGTTGAAAGGCAGCACTGCAGAGGGAAGTGAGGGTGGAAAGGGAGGAAAGAGAAGAATGCACATCTTACATCTTCTGCTTCACTTCCCCGGATGCCACAGCAGCCAGGTTGTAGCCAGCAGCAAAAACCTTCATCCAAGTCTTCCACAAGGGTGACGTACCACCTCCATTTCCATATTGCACAGAATGTTCTCGAACTAAATGTCTTCAGATATTTTTCAAAGACCTCATTTTCTGATACCCTAAAATGTAATGCAACTCTCAAGATGGAGGATTACCCCAAGAAGAGATCTTAGGTTATTAATCTTAAATTTTCATCTCAAAAAGAAAACATGGAGAGGCAGATTCCGGAGTGAGGCAGCTGGTAGAATCAGGAGATGGGCTGTTAGAAAGACCATTGTGAGCCCACCTGCTGGGTACGAGAGCCCAGAACGAAGTATAACATAGTGAGGGAAAATAGAAAATAGAAGAACCCCAGCTGCTTTTGGAAGTTAAAAAAGGGGGAAAAAAAGACAAAAGGAAACATCAGGATTCATGGGGTGTGAAAAGGTGGTTTTGATGTAAAATAATTTTTAAATCTTAGACAGTTTTATTCATAATATCAACTTGTTTAAAGATTTATTTCAAGGGCAGAGTAACAGAAGATTTTCATTAACATTCATTTACTTGTTTATTTAATTTGAAAGGCAGAGAGGAAAGAGAAAGTGAATTATCTGCTGGTTTACCCTCCAGATGCCTTCATCGGTTGGCACAGGAATTCTGCCTTGGGCTTCCCATGTGGATAGCAAGGGTACAACTGCCTGCCTGCGGTGCTTCCTGGGGTACACATCAGCAGGAGGCTGCCGTTAGGAGTTGCTACTTGAATATACTCACTTGACTTAGCTGGTGAACAGCCCAATGGTTCCTTAACCTTAAGGCCAAATATTTGCCCATGAACTTTTTGAATTCCACTCAAAATAACTGAAATTGGGCCCAGCCTAATGCCTAGTGCCTAAAGTCCTCGCCTTGCATGTGCCGGGAACTGTTTCACATCCCTGTGGTCCTGCTTCCTGTTCAGCTCCCTGCTTGTTGCCTGGGAAAGCAGTCGAAGATGGCCCAAAGCCTTGGGACCCTGCACCTACATGGGAGACCCAGAGAAGGCTCCTTGGCTCCTGACTTTGGATTGGCTCGACTCCGGCTGTTGCAGCCACTTGGGGAATGAATAAACGAGCAGATGATGTTCCTCTCTGCCTTTCCTCCTCTCTGTATATCTGACTTGCCAATAAAAATTTTAAAAATAAAACTTAAAAAAATAGCTGAAATTTACAGTAGCCAAAAGTTTTAAATCTTGTGAATTTATGTTTAATTTACATGAAAGGCGGGGATTTACAGAGAAGGGAAGAGACAAATCTTCTAATGCTGATTCACTCTTCAAATGACTACAATGGCTGGCACCGAACCAAGCAAAACCAGTAGCCGGTGGCTCCATCCAGGTCTACCGTGTGGGTGGTAGGGGCCCAAGTTCATCACCTGCTGCTGCTGTTCTGGGTACGTTTTCAGGGAGCTGGCAGTGGAGCAGCTGGAACTTGAATTTGGTATTCATATGGAATGCTAGCATTGCAGGTGGTGGCTTAATGTGCCACAATGTGGGTTCCTATTTTTAAGATTTATTGGACTAACATTGTTGTGCAACAAGTTGAGATGCCAATCTTGATACCCATCTCACGCTTGAGTGCCAGTTCAAAATCCAGCTGCTCCACTTTTGATCCAGCTTCCTGCTAATGCACTTAGGAATGCAACCAAAGATGACCTAAGTATCTGGACCCTTGCCACCCATGTTAGAGACCAGAATGGAGATTCTGGCTTCAAACTGGCCTGGTCCTAGCTGTTGCAACTATTTGGGAAGTGATCAGCAGATGGAAGATGGAAATCTTCCTCCCTCCCCTTCTCAGTCACTATTGCTCTGACTTTTTAATAAATATTTAAAGAAATTATCAGTGAAGGCAGAAATATTTTGACTGCTGGTTCCCTCCCCAAATGCCTGTAAAGACCCAGCCCCAGGCCAGTGTCCAAGTGGAGAGCCAGGAACTCAGTCCAGCTCTTGCACATGGGTGGTGGAAACCTCATCACTAGAACTGTCCCCACTGTCCCCCGGGGTTTGCATTAGCAGGAAGCTGGAGTTAATAGCCTGATGCAGGCTTCTCTGCCCAGGCACTCTGGTTTAGAATGTGAGTATCTTAAATGC